CATTGACGAATTGACGAACCCATTGACGAATTGACGAACCCACTGACGAATTGACGAACCCATTGAGGAATGGACGAACCCATTGACGAAATGACGAGCCCCATATTGAAGGCCTTGCTCGGCTTTTGAGATGTTGCCGTAATGTTGAGGACATTGGAGGGCCATGCCGGGTTTTGTTCGGAGAGTTCTGGAAAGTATTTTCAATATATATATATATATATTACCGGTTTTGAACCCCTTGGTGGAGTCAATGAGGTAGTGGAAGGCCATGTCAGCACTTTTTTTAGGGCATACGCATGGCCATCTTAAAAGCCCCTTTTTTCATAGATATTAGGGGCATCTTGTAGCCATGCCGGGGTGGATTCTAAGGAAACCATAGCTACGCAACGTGGGGGTATGTGGGGGCTTTTAGGGGTGCATGAAGAAAAAACTCACGATCAAATTGTGTACACAAGCGTGCTTTGAGAGGCTCCGGAACAAGTACAGTACCAAGAATGGGCAATCTTGGTATTTGCCATTCTTAGATTTGTTTTTGCAAGCCTAACATGGAACACAGAAAGACAACAAGACTGTGGACAAACTTGACGGCCCCAAGAGCAGTGTACAATAAGGATAGCGACATCATGGACGGAAACAAACACAGAGAGACAGCGCAGTGACAAAAAATACCAAGTGGCAAAAAAGGACTGAAGAGAACATGGAATTGCCAAATCTGTGCGCATTCCAAAACACAAAAAAAAACATTTGACAAACAATGCATATTGTGATCCATCATCCCAGATCCACACATGCGCCAAGTCAGTGCCATATCGCAAAATTCTCTAAGCAAACAACTTGGATATATGGTATGCCCAAAATGTGTTTCTTTTTAATACATGCATCATACACATGGACCACACACATGTAGTCTATACACACATGTAGTCCTTAGGAGGGGCATGGTTATTGTAAGCCATAATCATGTTGGAAGTTGTCCCATGATTTTTCCTTCGAGCTTTCCCATCGTTTAGTTAAAGTTAAAATCTTTGCCATCCAAAAATGGGATGGGCTGGACTTGCTTGGTCGTTGGAGCGGATTGAATTTGATGGTTTTTGGAGCGGATTGGACTGAATTGGAGTTGACTAAATAAGTTGTTGGTTGAACTGTTTTTTTTGATGGGCGTATTCACATCAAAAAATGGGAGGATACCCCCATTGAATATGTGATATTTAATAGTGTTTTTGCTTATTGTACCACCCAAGGAGCACTTCAACTCTCAAGTTGGTTGAGCAGTACCGTTTGTGCATCCCCACGCTAGGATATCGCCATCAAGAAATTCGCGAAATGTTTGCCTACCCCCACTGAAAATTGACCCTGGTCCAATCATTATTTTCAGGGAGTTCTTCTCTATTTCATTCTACTGACCCCAACCGGGCAGTGATTGAACTCTCAGCCCCAAACTGCCAAACAATTGCATTTGATGTCCGCATGTTTCACATAAAGAGGAAATCAACCAGAGGAAAAACATTCACACCAAACCCTTGTGTCAAGGTTTTTGGGCTATCAGTTTTAGTTCAATGAAGTGTTTTCATCATCATTTGTTCAACCTGTTGTGATCAAGGGTCATCTGGTTTGGCTGTCTGGTTTTCACTGATAACATCATGCCAAACTACTGCCACATAAGATTTGATTCATATCTGGTGCCTGATTGAAGACATTATTGTTTTTATGACCGACGGTCGCTGAATGTAATTTGCAATTCATATGCAATATGTTTCGGTTTATGTTTAGTTTGTTAATCTCAAATGAGGTTTTATGTCGTTTATATGTAGTCTATATGTAGTTTATATGGGGTTTGTATGTGGTTTATCTGCACCTGTCAAAACTACACAAAAACTACATGCGCTTTCCTTGGTTGTCTATGTAGTTAATATGTGTTTGGAATGATGCCGACCAACTATACATATACACTACATAAAACTGCATGACTTCAAAGAAGCTACATACATTTTTTGCATGGTGCAAAAGATCTACGTAAGATCTGTGCCACATTGATTTCAATACCTCCGTAAAGTCTTTAAACGAGTTTCCTAAATTCTATGTTTATAATGCCAAATATTGGCGCAAAATGTCGGAACATACTTTAAGACCACATGTTGGGTTTTGGAAGGGTCTCAGGTAAAACAAACTAGTTGGTTAGGTCATCATGCTGCAAACTTCTGGCAAAAGTGTCTTTTTCAGCAAGATAAATCTCTGGTAAAGCAATTTCATTTTTCACGTAACCATACATCCTACACATTTTTCATGACACAAATGGAACCAGCCGCTGGATCATGAAAAGACATGTTTTACATGAGGAAAAGCGCGTTCGTTCCTGTAATGTTTGCTCGCGTCTTTATCTGTTTGTAAGTTGCCATTTCAAAAAGATCGCTGATCCTATTCTCATTACAGCACGTGTGCGTGTGATTTCATTTTTATATTCATGGACCCTGATTCTCAAGTGCAATGGCTATTGCACAAAGAAAGGACAGAACAGATCCAATTTTGAAATTGCGTAAGCAAATACAGTGCAAACTAAAACAGTAAGAAGTGTTGAATCCCTTCTTACAGGAAAGCGGCCATCATTTTGCAATGTTGCATTTTTTTTATTGGGTGGTCCCCCCGCTGTGTCGAAAACATGGTGCACTAATAACTTAAAGCGTACCTACTTCAGTCCCTCGCGAGGTGTTCTTTTTCCTGGTGGCGTATTGTTGTTCCCCTTCTTCATCTTTATTCAGTTCATTTTTTATGAAATCTATTTTCCGTGTCCCACTTTGTCAAGGGACCCAATGAGCCATCCAGCTCTGAAACTTGAGGCCAGTAACAAACAAATTCTGATGGGGTTAAAATCCTGAGTTTGCGACCTCAAATAAAAACATGTGACCGTGATTCTATTTCTCAATTTTGACATGCATCAATGTTCCAAGAAGTAAAGAAAACATATATATATATATTATATATATACTGTAGCTATATATATATATATAGTAAGGATCCCAATGGCTGCCTTGTAGAAAAAACCATGCCAACTTCTCACGTACGTACACACACGAACATAAACTATGAATTTAAATGTCGTTGACTTTGAAACGAAACATGTTAAACCACAGCTAGGGTGTCTTTGGGGCCTCAAGTAAAACCATCGGCTGCCAAGAAACGTGATGTCCATGAAACCAAGTGAAGATAAAAACAAAAAACACCACTGGCTTCTTCAAAAAGAAAAATTGGAGAATATTGGATATCATTTTTTGTGACCAGCAGATTTTTAATCAACAATAATACTTTTTGTTGCTGTGTGTGGTGAAAAATATATACTGCAGATCCCAGAAATGTAAAACTGTGTATGGTGTTTTCTAGTGTTGTTTCTATGCTGGGTTGCTGTTGGATTTGCTTCATGTAGCTCATGTGTTGTTTTTTGCTGCTTTCTCTTGTAGTAGTCGCAATAGTTACTCTTTGGAACTAGTTAGCGGTTTTGTACGAATAAACCTAGAAGCCAAACTCAATCAAACTAAAAAACTAAGAAAACACACTCAGTGCAAGAATTACATGCCCTTGGAAGCATGAACTTGAGCACACGAAGAACATAATAAGATTCAGCTGTGGTTCCATCACGGCTCGGTGCATTAAAAAAAACACGTGTGGTTTATATGCTGTTTTGTTCGTTCCCCTAAACGTGATTTGCCAGGCGTGTGCTAGAATTTACAAAAAGATCTAGTTACTAAAGAAAACTTTTGAAAAAAAAACTAAATTCACTAAAAAGGAAGGCGGAGGGCTTGAGAAGCTTCAGAATAAGTACCGAGAATGAATGATGATTTGGCAAAGGGCCAGGGTAACCATACTTATTCTTGTATTCGGGTTGTAAGTAGCAACGGCAAAGTAAAGTGCAATCGCAGCCTGATGACTGACACGCGTGGCGCGAAATCACCAAAAAGACACTTGAAAAAATGATTTTGAGGGTGGCCCCCTGGAAAGCGTGGTCTTCACCAAAAAATACCATAAGCATATGCATTTCACGTTCTGCCTGGCACCCCTGGAGGGACCCATACTGCGATATAAATTTGAAATGGCTCAACGGAAACAGTACACCCAACAATGCGGATATCGGAAATCATGCTTTATCTTAACCATTTGACTGATTATCGATTGTTAATGGATTGGTGTAAGGCTTTGTAAGGGAAAGCTTTGGAAACCGTCGGTCTTACCCGCTACTCAGAGTCTTCCTATGGTTTCCTTGCATGTGGCGTCCCTCACATCCTTGTTGCAAGTGGTTCCACCCTGTTTATTGCTTAGACCGCTATGTTTTGGTGGTGCCTGTCCCGTTTCTTGTTGCTTCCCATCCATTTGTGGGTCAACTTCTTTTGCCACCCAGCTAACATTTTTCTGCAGGATATGAATCTAAGAAACCCAATGATATTACCATCCCCCATATTGCTATAAATGCGTGGTAAATACCATGCCCAAATGGTAGGTTTAATATTTGGGATATTACCACATTCATGGAGGGTATTTGTATCTTTAACATTCTTTAACATTCTTGAACAAAATCAATGACACATATATCCAAGATGATGTAGCCGTGACGGTTTCCTACTGCAAAGTGTCGGTTTCTGCATGATGTACCGTAGCCTATGAGTGGCATGTGTTACCCGGCTGAATTCTAAGGACATCACAGCGACGTGACTTTTTAGAAAATCCATGGGAAAGGGGAATCCCATCCCATAGCGCCATAGCGCAAAATATCACTGGGAGTTCCTTGGATTCAACCACTATACAAAAAAATCGAAAATGATGGAGATTTATATGGATTTTATATGGAGGATTCGAGGTTTAACTATAGAAAAAATCCTGGGAGTGCGATTTACAGCTATAAAAAAACCAGTGGTGATAGTCACATCGCTGGAATTTTCCCGTATATTTAAGTATAAATTTGTAGTTGGATCATTTTCCTGGCTATAAACCTTCAAGTGTTTGAGGCTTTTCCAATGGTTTTCGCCATCCGCAACGTCCTGGGAACCACGGGTTTTCCCAGGGATTTCCGCCCCTGCTCCGCGGTGCTGAGACTCAACGTTGTGGAAGCGACGGAAGTACAGCCACAGTCGGTGAGTAATGCCCCGGAGCCCCAGGGGATGGAGATCATGAGGATATGATTAATGAATAATAATGAGATATAGTGATTACAGTGGGAAGGCCAAGTTTGGTAGAATCCCTTTTCGATCTCTTGGGGATTACTCTCTCTCTCTCTCTCTCCATATTATTGTAATATACGTGTATGTATATATATATATACATATATATATATACACACGATTATATACGTATATACACATAATCCATGTTTATGTTATATTTAACCAGCAATATGATGATTGGCTTTTGTCGAAGGGGGGATGTGTTCCATGTGGTTGCAACGTGAAAAGGGGAAAGGATCATGGAACATGAACATTTGGGGTATTCTATCCTATTGTCAACAAATCCAAATGGAGATTTGTACAACAACCAAAAGATAGGAATGTTGAAACATGTGATAGAACCAAGCTCTGGACATGGTGACGTTTTGACAACCAGTAGATGGAGATTTAACCACGGGATATTACTGCTATCACCAATGAGCCAGGTCAGTGCACAAGGCCATCATTTGGCCAATATGAAACAACGGGGTAAAAACTCAATCACTACCCAAATATACAGAACCTACTAGCTTCAGGCTTCGCTTGACCGGTTTTTGTTGTTTTTGTTGGTTGTTGATGACGACACATGGTGACATGGCCAGCAGGGACAGGAGATTCTTCAACAGAGCGTATGATTCTTCACTGGGGGATGTTTGTTCTTGGGTCCCCCAATGACAAATCAGTTGCTGATGATCCATGGATTAGAAGACGATTTTGACATAACCAGAGGGTATGATCTCACATGAATTTTCGGGCAAACATCCAGCTATACAGCTATTTTGATGTTAACATCTGTAGACGGTACCAGGGACGGTCAAAACGATGGCGCTGCAGGTGGTCTGGTCTCTGGCCACCCTCCGAATTGTGCATCGCCCACTTCTGCAGGCGCCGTTTCATCAAAATCGTGGGAATGCTCATCATTTTCCCTCCTGAAACATAAAAATCTAATTACGGTGGATGGAAGAAATCCTGCACCAGTTGATAGTTGATTTATCCCATTATTTATAGGGTTTCAACCGTGCAAGGTGATGCAAGATTTCTTCCATCCACAGTAGGAACAATGGTGATTTATATAATGGGCATGGGATATCAAAGGGATAACCAACTTGATATGATAGTGCGTCTGCCTGCAATCGGGAAATGAATCAAGTTGTATATAATAGGGAGCATGGTATATACTTCACCAAAGGTTTTAGGGGCACCCTATTTTCAGACAAACCCATATTAAGCAAACATGTTCGGTTTCCGCATTTTAAGACACAGCAAAATTACTCTAAATTGGAATTGAAGGTAGCAACTCATTTTCTTCTGCATACCTGGAACATGAATTACTTGTGGTTTTGGAGGATTTAAATTGTTTTGACCCATTAAATACAAAATAACACCGTTCAAAGTAGAGGTGAACTGGGTTCCATATCTACAATATACATGATTATGCATATGTATATACAGCATTGCATACAACATGTATAACCTATATATATATATACATACATATTTATAGGTACAAACCACATGTGTAAACTATATATATATAATATCCAATACCAAAGGAGTATATTTTCGTTCACAGTTTAGTCGGGCTTGATCCTAACAAAACGCTGCTAGTGTCCAGCCTGCAGCCCCACCCATGTTTGACCATGAAAAGCGGTTCCGCGGCACCTGATACCTTTACATATGGCTTTGTTTGAAACTAGTGTACTTCCAAAACCATTGGATTATCATAATTTTCCCTACTACAAAAGACATAATGAAAACTCCCCATTTTTCAGACGCAGCCATATACGAAAATTTGACCGCGGACATGAGATAATTTACCAAAATGGTGCTCTCTCTCTCTCTCTGTATGTATATATATATAAATAAATATTGTATACATATGCACATGCATTCAACCAGACACCCTCATCATTAGAAGGCGCAAGCGACGTTTCTTCTCACAACCAGCAGAGAATCTGCTGCAGATCTGGGGTTTCCCCACAGGTTATATCTCTGGTGTGCGTGTCCAATATGGTCTGAATCCCCAGCCTGGCAATGTCGTTGCGTTGCCGTTGTTTGGGTCAACGTTGGCATAGACCAAAAATACCCATGCAATGCTCGGCCTGCCAGTTCCGGGAGGAAATAGAAGCCTTGGCGAAAAAGCCAGCTGGATGATCCAACAACTCTTGCATGGATTACCATTGAATCAGCCTCAGGATGATGCTAATCTTCATGGTTCATATGGGTCAAAGTCCCTATGTTTGACAGCGTTTTGTGGTACATTCACCTCCGTGGTTCAGACTGTCACAGAATTGGTTTGATAGGAATATTCACAGCCTCATCATTGGTCGATAGAAATCCAAACACTTCCTTATCGAAGGTATGGCTGACACCCCCGGATTATCATGACTGGTTGGTGGTTTGGAACATGTTTTTTTTCCCACATCTTGGGAATTTCATCATCCCAACTGACTTTAAGTCCATCATTTTTCAGGTAGGTGGCTCAACCACCAAGCAGATTATTATTAACCATCATTAACCATATAATAACCATATAATAACCATTAATATTAACCATATACTAACAGTAGATACTTCCTTCGAGAGAAGGTACGGCTGGATCCATAGAGATGGTATTGGACTGGGCAAACTTTGCCAATACTTGGGGGTGCAGTTCCAGTCATAAGTGGTTACATACATCTATGGGGGTTGTATCATATCCCAACAAAACTGGTTCTTGTTTCATGATGATGATGATGATGATTGGGAGCCCTATTCCTTTTTTAAGCCCAGTTGATAAAGAGCCCCTTTTGTCCCACCGAGGCACAGTTCAAGAGTTTCGAGCTTTCGACCACCCTCTGGGCCCTTGCAAAGCTTGGATCCATGGAGGACGGGCTGAGCCATGACAGGGATGGGAACCGGGTGAGATAAACCATGAATATACCCTCTGGTTATGTCAAAATAGCCATTGAAAATGACCATAGAAATAGTGGATTTTCCCATTAAAAATGGTGATTTTCCATAGTTTTCTGTATGTTTACCAGAGGGTAGTCTGTCTATACCAAAGACTATCAAAGATTCTCAAAGTATAGATCCAAGTATAGTGTATATACATGTATATACTGACTTTATATGTCTAATGTACGGCTACTTGGATGTGCATCTGCGTCAGATTGCGTGGGTATGTGGAACAGACTCCAGTTTTACATCGATTGTTGACCACTTGCTAACTGGCCACATCCAAATATCTAGCATATGTACAATTTATAATATAAAGATATACATTAATATAATTAGATATACAATGATATACACATGAAATTGTATATACTTATTATATGTACTTTAAATATTGACTGTGGTTGAAGATCCTATGAACATACTACGTATATATATACACACCATATCATGTACATTGTGATGTTTTGGGGTTCCAACCTGAAAATATCTTTAGAGATGGTGTCAGGAAATGGGGGATTGACATGGATTGACATGGATTGACCGCCGCCGTAGCGCTACGGAAAATATGCGACTTTTCAGAAGGAACATTTCATTCGATGAACTCTTGGGATTTGCGGAGCGGATGTGGTGTTCCCGGTGTTCCCCAAGATTTTCAGAGAAAGACACGTACCCTCTGGTAAACTAGCATAGCTATTGAACATGGCCATTTATAGTGGATTTTCCCATTAAAAATGGTGATTTTCCATAGTTATGTTAGTTTACCAGAGGGTAAACTCTTGATACCTTTGATTCACAAATGGATGAAAAGAGGGGGATCGTTTTTGATGTTCTTCCCTGAATGGTCATTTCATGCTAAATTTTTAAATCCACAGTCCATTTTTTTCTTGTGCCCCCAGTAAATTCACAGAACACATCTCGAAAACAAGTACCAGATGCTCCATGTATGAAATATGTACCTACATGACTGGGCCATTTTTAGGGTAAATGTAAGTAGATAAATACCCTCTGATAATTTGTTACATAGCTATTGAAAATGACCATAGAAATAGTGGATTTTCCCATGAAACATGGTGATTTTCCATCGTTTTCTCTATGTTTACCAGAGGGTATTTCCCTACATGGAGCATCTGGGAGTCATCGGAACTTCCCCCAGGACTCAGCTCCCGTGGAGAAGGCGGTCTTTTATGCGGTCGGGGATGCCAAGCAAAGTGACCATCGATGTTGGGTGAAAAATATTCACCACTTTATGGCTGGTTGGTGGTTTGGAACATGACTTCTATGACGTTCCATTCAGTTGGGAATGTCCTCATCCCAACTGACGAAGTCCATCATTTTTCAGAGGGGTTGAAACTAACCAGATGGGATATCCCGGGATATTGACGGGATAATGTATACTAACCTTATTAAATCCTGGCCTAGCTTGAAGATCGGGTCTGTATCCTATTGAGTCCACCATTTTCCCATGGTTTTCCCCGATGAAAACGCCATCATGTCATGATGTCAACCCGGATTACCTGAAAAACCCTTGCTGATCAATTAGGGGTAAACCACCCCAAAATAGTGATAAAATGCTACTGAAAAATGGTACCCACCAATTTTCAAGAGCCTCTGGGTGAATAAACATCCAGCGTTGACAAAAAATCAATTTCAGCAGCCAGATTTCTGGGGATACGATGGGATAGAATGATAGAATAGTATGTAACAGAATCACAACCCACATTGAAGTAACAGTAACAGACACCACATTGTGGGATGGTGAAACAGTGTGAAACATTCGAATATCCCAATTGCTCCATGGTGCTGGAACATTTACCAACATTTACCCCATAAATGGCCCAAATGTAAATATACTATACATGGAGCATATGGGTATG